TCAGGTAACTCTGGAGGAGCTGTAAAGATCCACAGTTCTGTTGGGAGAATCAGTTACCATGAAAGCTGTTAGCCTCAAACTTCATTAATAAAAAAATAAAAATGAAAAAAACTGCTGAATGTATGACAAAAGAGGTCCAGTTTTTTCGCCAATCTATCTCATGGACATAGTTAACAAAAAATGTTTGGTCAGATTAGAGCAAAATGAAGCAGTTTGGTTAACAGGAGGAATGACACATTTCATCTCATATGACAAATATTTCCAAACCATACTGTAGGGTTTGTTCTTGATCTTGTGCAGGAACGAGGAAGAAGAAGTTCGCCTCTGGCAGAACGATGACTCCAGAGATACAATGGAATCTTTTGGAGCAAAGTGTGTTCATAATGCAGAACGGTCCAGTCAAAAGACCTTGTTTCAATTAACCCTGTAATGCCAAATGTATCGTATTTGATACATACGGTTTCTGAAATGTTTTGCATCTGAAACCTTTTGCATAATTTAATGGTAAAAACTTTGCTCAAAATCCTATTGTACACAATCAGATATACCTGATAACAGCCAGTAGAAGACTACACAAAAAATAATCTTGACTTATCGCATAGTAATAAATTATTAATATCAAAAATGTATTTCTGTTTTTTCTTTTTACATATTTTGTTAAAAGGGCAAATAAGGACTTCAAACCAAAAAAAAGTAATTTTCTGTTTTGTTTTATTCTCGGATCGGGCTTTAAAGGGTTAAGAATAACAGTCATGGATTATTAAGTGAGGGTTATTTGCACTGATATTCAAATTTGATTGAGTTTATTTCTTGAAAAAAGAAAAAGCAAAACAATGTCTGAAAAGATTTGAGGCTGTGATTGCAGAAAAGAAGTATCGTTAGAAAGTTTTATCTCAGGTGGGCTAAATCTGAATGCACATGGCACTTTTTAGATAAATGGACAGATTAAATAAAGGCTACAATGTCTCTGCATTGTAAATATCTTCATGAGACTGATTTTTAAAAATAAAAATAATTACTGCATATAAACCAACATTTCCCTCTTTAAAAGGAAGCTATCTATTTGGGAAGAGAAGAGTTATCAGAGATCAGGGGCTTAAAGACACAAAAAACTGGGATGCTATCCAGATTTTAAAAAGCTGCTAACAGGGATAAATTACTACTTGAGGTAAAAAAAAAATGCAATTGAAAAATTCTGACAGAAGTGTGTTAGGTGCTGTATTTCCTGCTCTGGTTCTGAACAGTATTCTAGTGATTTCCACCAATGTGTGGCAGCAAAACCTTATCTCCAACCAATTGCAACCGTGAAACTTGGCAGCAGTCAGTGTAAACAGATAAAGCTTCAGGCTTCTAAACATGATCGGGCAATTTTTGACTCATTAAACTGCATCATATTAATCTAAAACCAAGCTAATGCTTGACAGGTCAGCCAGCTCCACTCAGCCAATTTGTTCATCTTAGCGTCAATGGCCTGATGTTCCACACTTGTATGGGATACATTTAGTTTTTTCATTGTTGAAAGAAAGAAACAGGTTTTGTAAAATAAAATTTGAAAAATAATTTTTTTTTTATCCAAGGGTGAAATTAAAAAACATCTGAACCAAAAATCATATTTCTAACTTAATTTTTAAATTTTTATAAATTTTTCATTTTTAAATGTTTTTATTGCTCTTTTCAGTTTGAGTTTTATTAATTGTATTATTTTCAAAATAATACAAATGGTTGCACTTGACATGCAACTGGAAAGAATGGAATTCGTAAAACTCAATCTGAAAAGAGAGGTCTGAAAAAATTAAACATTTTAAATATATAAAATATAAATAATTTTTTAATTAATTTTCTTTCAGATTTCCATTTACAGAATATGCTTGATTCCTGTTTTTATCTTTAAAACATGACATTTTCCTTTAGAAAATGTGCTTGTTGATTACAACAATAATCCATCCAAAAATTCTTTCCAATATTCCAATCTGGGGGAATTACAAAAACAGTTCCCAGTAGAAAATTTTTTCAAAAACATGGTGGAGGAACTACAGCTCCCTTTGGCCTATCAGTACGAACACGATCAACAGATTATGAATAACTCCTAGTAATAAAATACTGCCACTCCTGGATAATACAAAGGCTTTGAAGATGTTGGAAACAAATGTGTTTTCTACTTGTAGAGTCAACCAGAATACTGGGCGGAGCAGGAAGAACTGCACATATGTATGTATGCATCCTTTCTGTGTCTGAAGCATTAACTGTTAATAAGAAGAAACCATCAGATCTGTCAAAGCTCTGGAATTCTGCACATTTGTTATAGTTCATTTTTCACCCAGGCATGCTGTTTGGGTTTTAAAAAGACGTCGATCATTGTGAGTAAATATGTAGAAGGTAGGGTATGTTAGAGCTGATGGTAATTTAACTTCACAACCATCTGCAGGGATCCACAGACATATTTTCCTGAGTGAAGATGCAGAAAAACAGTAGAACAAGTAACATACTTCGAAAATTTTATGCACAGAAACTGGTGCTTCAATAACCTGGCTGGTTATTGCTACCTCCATTTTTTTTTTGTGTGTAACCAATAATCAGTGAAAAATTCAAGTCACCTTCCCATTACAAATGCTTTTTTTGTGCTAAAACCTACCACAGCCGTCTTGCATATCCTATTCATTTCAAAAATACAAAAATAGCTGCAGGCAGGAAGGTTATTCTGTATCAGTCTGTCTTGCACCAGATCTGGAGAAGCCTCTGACTTAAGACACTTTGCTTTTGCGTAAAAAATCTGAAGAGGATGCTCACTGTTCTCCATAATCTTCTTCGTTTTTGGAAGAATTCTTCTTTGCAAATCACAACAGATCGGTGGGAACTGATTGATTTACAGCAGTTTCCTAACCTTTTTTCACTTGTGTTCCCCTTTGGGCATTTTGTCTTACCGTCAGTGGCCCCCTCAGTCAAAAGTATTGATAACTGTTGAAAAGTGGAAATTGAAATAACCGATTATAAAACAAAAACTATTTTACTACATCTTTTAACCTGAGCATTTAATTCTTAGGCATTTTATTCCTTTCATCGCAAATCCCCCCCCCCCCCCCCCCCCCCCCCCCTCCAACATTAATATGTTGCCTGGTGGTTTGTAAGGAATTGAAAAAAATAAAATCATGTTATAAACCTGTATTTATAAAACTGGAGCTTCTTTGAGTAACTCCCTTATAATCACGTTTAAACTTGATGAATTGGGAACAAAATACAGAACAAAAATTATAGTCAGACTGACTTAAATAGCTTTACTCTTTTTTATCAAAACATCTGAGCTGCTTTGATGAGCTCCGATGGCTCAGTGTGAAAAAAGCTGATATATGAGGACATTCTCTACATCCAGTCTGTTCCTCTGCTTGGATTTGATGAACGCAAACATATAAGAAAAACATACTTTTTCTTGATAAAGTTGGATAGTGGCAGCCTAGTGGTTAGTGCATAGAGCTTGGAATAGTGAGGTTCTGAGTTTGAGCCCCACTCCCACAGACTGCCACTCTGGGTCTTTGAGCAAGACCCTTAACCCCACACTGCTCCCTGGGCGCCCCACGATGGCAGCCCACTGCTCCACAAAGGATGGATTAAATGCAGAGGTAAATTTCTCCAATGTAGGATAAATAATGTTAGTAATTATTAATGAACAAAGCAAAACAGAGCACAGCCCTATTTTATTTTACTACCAAAAACATAAAATATTTTCATGTACCCCTTGCAATGCTTTCGTAGACCACCAGAGGTACGAGTACCCCCGGTTGAGAATCACTAATTTAAAAGATAGTTTTTGTATTTGGGGACTTTTGCTCCTTATGCTGTGAAGATGTCTTCATTCCTAGAAATGTTTTCATCTGTTCAAATATCTGCAAAACTATCATAGGAAGACCAGTGGATAAAGGCACCATGCAGCTCCCATCTAACCATGCAAGGAGTGACAGAAATAGACAATGAATGGAGGATGGTTATAGTAGCTACAGTATACCAGGCCTCTATGATGCAATGTAATACAGTCACTGAAATATACTGAAAGCTAGGAGGAAAGGTCAGCGTATGTTCTAAGCTTGCTCTTACTGTAAGTCTGATATTCTAGTAATCGAGGATTCCTTTATCTACAAGAAAATCCAACAAATGAAAAGGTCTTACAGTTGTAGTTTTTTAGAAGCTTTAAAATTCAGTTTTAAGTCAAATTTTCATACAAAAAAAGAAAGGTTTAGACCTCAGAGCCTAGGGGCCGTTGGCTGAAGCCCTGTTAAGCTCCTTCTGAAGTCTGACTCTGGGTGTACCTCTCTGCTTTACAAGCAGACAACCAGTTTTTAACTTCCTCATCTGCTTTGAAGACAGGTAAAAAAAATCACATTGTGATTTATGTGTTTCATCATTTTCGGTTAACTCATTTAAGAAACTAACATTACTCCAAAGTTTTGTTTTTCAACTTTTCTATGAAGAGCTACAAAGATCTAATATCAAAATGATTTTTAATGACATTGGACAAACAAATGAGGTAAAAATAAGATACAATACAAAGTAAAAACCCTCTGAGGTCTTTGGACCAGTGAGAGAAAAGGCTAGAGAATAAGCAGGTGTGCAGGGAAAGACACAGAGGCTTCAGGCAGAGAATAGATCAATAACTAATTTCAGTACAGAGCTTCACCCGTGCTGTTTTTCCAATAAACGTTGGATGGAGAGTTACTGGCTTAGCCCTCCCTCCCCCCACACTATCTCTGCTCCATCACCTTCTACAAGCAGGGATTGGACTCCATAGAAGAAGCTTGATTCTGCCAGTACTGTGCACATCTGCCTGGTCAGGATTATGTTCCTGCAGCCAGTGAAGGGTGTATATCTAAACCAATGTTGCTTTCTATCATATGTCCTCTACGAGCGCACTCTCTCAGCCATCCCTGTATCTTTAATGCTAGTTTTTTTCTCCTCTCTCTTCTTCTTCCTTCAATCGCCTCCCATCTTCCCTCCCTCCCTCGTCCTACCAGGGCCAGCACTGGGGTTTTGTCAAGAGCAAGCAGGCAGATTCAGACGGACAGGAGAGTGAAGCGTGTGTCATGCAGCTCTGCTGCTGCTGCTGAGGCTCTTCTCCTCAGAGGCTGTGACCTAGATAACCAAGAGGAGCTGGAGCGCCTGCAAGCCTTGGAGCCACTCCAGCTTCAGCAATGTCAGGAAGGGGTTAGTTGTATAACACAATGTCCTATTTAGTTTAGTCGGCACACATACACTCAAACATGAACACATATGTGCCCTATGGTCCTCCTATACCATCATAGTACATTTGGTTTTTTTGTTTTTCTGTTGCTAAAGCTGTGTTGGATGGGTTGAGTGTGAGAGAAGGAGAATTCATCTGTATTTAATCATAAACATTAGAGATGCTTGGTAAAGCTTTGTACTTCAGCAGCCACATTATGTCAAAGCTACAAAAGGAGGACTCTTCCTGCTGTGCTGCTGCCTTTAAATTGAGGCGCTTTATTTAGCAGCTATTCTGAGGTTCTGAGTATGAGCACAACCATGTGGTACATACATTATTTGCATTAATTATTCTGCTTGTGCAGGTAGCCTGGGAGTGCAGCATTTCTACTCAGCTCTATACTGCCACTAACTGGCCAATTAGAGGAATTTATTTTTCCTCCCAGGAACACAAGGATTAAAAAAACAAAAATGGGCCAATGATAATTAAACTTGTTTTATTCCAATGCATTGTGAAAAAAACACTAAACAGAAAAATACATCCCCATAGAAGGTGATAATATATCGATGGATTCGAATCATCCACATCAACTTTGATAAGAGGCAAAAAATAATAAAAATAATAAAAAAAAATCTTAGATCACTGCATCTACTGTGATTCAACACTGCTATCTGGTGGTTTTAAGTTTATACTGCAGCATTTTATCCAAATTAACACTGCTATACAGAAATTTCATTCCATTGCAAAACAAAAAACTTTTTTTTTTTTTTACAAACATCAATTTGTATCTCACAGTATAAAACAAAAGGAAAATCACAAATAATAAAAAAAAAAGGCATTTAGTTTTTGTCAAATTTTACTTTTGCACATATAGATGCTTAATTTACATTTTCATTTCAGGAAAACAAAAATGTTTGTATTAATCCTGGCTCTGCTGTGGCTTGAAGCATTCCCAGCCTGGCTTTGGGATATAGGTGAGCTCTGGAAGAAGGAAGTCTTTCAATCTGTCTGGTAAAGGCAAAGCTTTCACTCTGTCCACTATGGGCCAGGGTTGAACGCAGCTCCTTATGAATGCCCTAGAAAGGCAGCGAAGTGACGGAGGGCTCCCCTCATGCTCCACTACACGGTTGTGTAGTTCTATCAGAGCCTGAGCATGTGGGTGAGAGTCCAGATTGGCCACAGGAAGCTCCAGCCTCTGAGGCAGATGCAGTGTTGGGACGTTAACCCTCGCAAAGTCCAGCAATGTCTCAGCTTGCTCCAGCAGCTCAGCTGCTTGACTCGGATCTGTGCACTGCTGCAGGACTGTTTGAAGCCTCTGAAAAAGGAGGCTATAACCTGACCAACAGAAAGAACTGTGATGGGAGCAAACCAAAGAGGCTCCACTCTGCATTAGGAGCACCGCCAGAGGAAAAAGCAAGTCGAAGTGCTCCAGGCTCGCCTGCATCAGAGACTCTTCGCCATCTTCGTTCAGACAGCAGCTGAGGTCCACGCCGTGGGAAAGCAGTAGCTGTGTGGTTTCCAGGCAGAATTTACCAATCTCTGCGGCGTCCTCCGTGCTGGCCTCCAGAGCCTCCTTCACCAAGAACACCAGGGAGGACTCCACCGTTTCACCGTCTACAGTGGCAGCACTCCATACTCCTGGGGAACCTGAAGACACAGGAGGTACTTTTGCTCACCAAGAACTTTTCATATGTTAAAGAGGCTAACTTTAATGCATTTTATAGCTTTTTATGTGACAGACTAAAATAAAATCGATCCACAGTATGAGACGATCTGTCAGCTGAAGCAAGCTTCACCAACACATGATGCTGCCACCACCATGCTTCAATGTAGGGATGCCAAATTCCATCCACACATCGCTTATAGCAGGGGTCTTCAATGTTTACCAGGCCAAGGACCCCCAAACTGATGGTGAGATGGAGCAGGGACTCATATCTGAAAGTAATTTCGCTCTGGGATTATTAAAGTATTTCTAATTCCTCATTGAGGTGTTGTGAATGAAACGGTGCCCAGCTTGAAAGAGCTCCTGTGTGTCGCTGAATGTGAGCATTGATGTAGGGCTGCAACAACGAATCGATAAAATCGATAAAAATCGACTTTTAAAAGCGTTGGCAACGAATTTAATCATCGATTAGTTGTGTCGCGCGATTAATGCGTCATCCGCCGCCGCCGTCATCCCTTGGAAGAAAAAAAAATATGGCGGAGCGAGTCAGCGCCGCAGGTGCAGTGTTGCCAACTCAGCGACTTTTAAGACCCCTCCAGCGACTATTTTTCAAAAAAGCGACTAGCAACAAATCTGGCGACATTTTACGGTGTCACTGGCGGCTTTTGGAAACTCTTACGTGAAAGCATGTATCGTTCCTACTCTGCCGTGGGGCGACTCCCCCATCCCAACCCCTTTCTCCCTCTCCCACAGGAATCCCTCTCAGTGGGGCAGTCAGAGCAGCAGGATTTTAGTGATGAGTTTACCCTCAGCGTCGAGACTGCAAATGCAGCGCGCATGCGCCGGGATTGACGGCTCAAATTGATCACAATAATTAAAATAGCCTGCGCTTTGTAAAGTGAAAAAAGTCGTAACATGCAACTTTTGTAAAAACAAATGAACATGGCACGGAACCACCACTGTTATGACGCAGCACCTGAAAAGAAAACACGTTGGAGCCTTCGATGGCAGTGAAGAGAGCTGATCAGCAGGATGAGTAACCATGTTTGTTTGGTTTTAAAGTGGGGAAACGTAACGTAAGTTTCTCAGGTAGCTCATCTGATGCTTTCCTTACCTTGTTAGTAGGTTACAGACAGTGATAAGGTTGGCTACTTATTTTACTTTTAATTTCATTTGAATTAGCTTAAGCAGCGTTTACATTTTCTTTATAAATAAATTAACTTGCAAACTATGAGGGCAAGGCTTTTAAAGTTTAAATCTTCTGGCAAAGATAAAGAAGATCCTGCAATTTATGGAAGTAAAGCAGAATAAAATCCAGCAAGATCAGTAATATGTCAATTAATTATATGCCACATTCCCATGTAAATATCTGTCTTTGTAGGGTGTGTTTTTTAGCACCCCTAGTTCTCTCATTTTTATTCCAAATACAATTTATAATTTGAATCACAGCTATTTTTATCTCTATGGTTAAGTATTTTCTCAAGTAGCAACTTTAACTGCTATACTTTCCTGTCTTAAAAGGCAGAACTCTTCTAGTCTAAAAAACCTCATTTGTTGAAATGGGGGGGCCTATTGTTTGAACCCCTTAGGGGCTTTTAAAAACAAAAATGCCTGTCTCTTTTTGCACTTTATGAAACAAAGTAGCCTATATTTTGTGGATGTACAGCTACATTTCTCATGTAAGTTTGCGTAGTTTTTACACAAACATTTATTTTTCATATTGCACCGGTACAGTTAATGAGCAACCTGTACTTGTGTGCTTGTTTGTTCTGTCTAAAATGTTTATTTTGGAATAAAGAGGTTAATATAAAAAATATTTTTTGTCCGATTCATCGATTAATCGAAAAAATAATCGGCCGATTCATCGATTTTTAAAATAATCGTTAGTTGCAGCCCTACACTGATGACTGAAAGACATCTTCTGCCTCCATTTATGTGTTTACTACAGTGTGTTGAATTCATGTTAATTTGTATTTAAAGACATTTCAATTAGTGAAAAAAAAATTGCAGTGGGGAATAAAAAAAAAAAAAAAAAAGTCTAATCAACCAAAACTTCGCAACCCCCCCATGCAGTACCTCTGTTGACCCCTAGGGGTCGCAGACCCCCTGTTAAAGACCGCCGGCTTAGAGAGTACGATGAGGAGTTAACCCTGGTCTCACTTGATCTGCATGTTCTTTTACATTTACTCTGTCTCAAACGGAGTCTGAGAAAAACAAGACTTCCTATAGCTTTGTCACAAGTTACATTTGTTTTAGATTTAACATTTGCAAAATGTAAAACATTCATCCTTATTTCAATTTATAGTAAAGTGCTACTTTGTTTTGATCCATCGCATTAAAACCTTACACAAGTTTGCAATGCATCAAATAAATTTAAAAAAAACTTAAGGGTATTCAACCTCTGCAAGATCATTTATAGAAATATTTGTTTCATTTGAGATACATCAAATAGCTTTTAAGGTTAATATACAGCAGAGTACGGAGGCTGCTTTTCCCCTTAAAAACTTTGGTTCACTAAGCCAAGTTTTTGTTGGGCAGCGAAAGAGATTTGACTCTTACCTGATCAGGCATATTTTTTGGTTCCATGATGTAAGATTTAATCCAGAGGGGAGAATGTTTCCTTGGTGTAACTCGTTTCAATGAGCTGGTCTAAAGGTCTGCTCTCAGATTTTAAGACAACGAGGGAAATTTTCAACAGGATAGTGCCTCTTTTAGCCTTCAGGCATGCTAAACCTGGAAGTTACTGGTCTAGTGCCCCTAGTGGCTAAAAGTGACAGTGTAGCCTTAAATAAAACCTTTTTTTTCATGAATCTCATATTACTTAGAAGGAAAATAAATACATTTTCCTCTGAAAAAATTGCTGTTTTTTTTTTCCAAAGCTCCTAAAGGTAGAATACATTTTTTTTTAGTAAATATCAGAAGTAGGAATAAGTTTCATGTTGTTTAAATACATAATCTTAGGATGTGGAAGAGCTCCCAAACTGCTGTCAAAGAACATTTTTAAATGTACAGAAAGTTCAATATCTTTAAATCTTTTCTTGCCCAAATAGGAACACAAATATGCAAAACCACAACTTAAAAACAAACTTTAAATAGGAAATATCTGAAACCTGCTTGGATGAGCTGCCGTATCCTAAACTGAACCCAAACCTTCCTCCTGATCCTCCAGGATTTAAAAAGGCTGCCGGCTTGTGAATAATCAGGAGAGACAGCTGCAGAGGGCGATTGTTTTTTAGCTTCGGTTACTTTGCCTCAGACGACCCCAGATGGCGTTTTTTTTCCATTTCTTCTGCAGGCTGAACAGTCCTCATGCTGCTACAAAAGGCTTGTGTTCAGCCTCAGCCGTGTGTTTTAGAGACAGATAATTTGTGCCTGGAAAATGATTAGAAGTTTGCCCTGCAACAATCTTGTAAATCCTGTAACTACTAACTAAAAAAGGGTATTTAACCTGAATTATACAACCAAATGAGCAAAGCTGTATTAAAAGCACACTGTGTATGGAGGACCAGCCCTGCCATACTTAAAAATAAATAAATATAAAGAAAGAAATGCTCAATTAATTAGCATACAATTAATTGCCCCCAAAAATACATAATACATAATAATACAAATAAATGTAGGTAAAAATTTAATTATACAGTGAGACATAAATGTATATCTCTTTTAATTAGCTTCTATATTTATCCACCTTTGTAATAATTACCTTATTTATTGCCCGTTTTAACCTTCAACTTTATTTATTATTATTCTTTATCTATGTGCATGTTATATTTATGTCTGTTTTATTCTTCCTTGGTATTTTTTAACCCTATTTATTTCTGCCTGTCGTTTTTACATTTCTGTGTTTCTGCATTTCAGCCTCATTATGCAAATGAGGACGGCTGTCCTTAGAGGGTCAACTTCTTAGACACAGCACAAGCCTTGACACAATCATTGCTACGAGCGCGGCTTCCTTCTAGAAATGGCGCCTATGTAAGTGAGAAGACGATGTACAGTCATTGGCCAGGTCATGTGACCTGAAAGAACGTATCGCTTTATGGCTACAGGTTCTTATATCGTCATGTAGCTAAGGCTTTTGCTCTACTGTTTTTCCGCCTGCTCAGGTTAACTAAATCGGTGACACAAAAATCGGGAAAAAAAAAAAAAATCAGATATTTTAAGGCCCTAGGTCGAGCCAACTCGCCCATCATCATCATTCTGGAACTTCAGAATGTTTTGTCCCACAGGAGTTTCTAGAGGAAATCCTTTTAAAATATAACAGACAACAGGCATAGCTAGGCTTTAATTGTCTTTATAGTTATAGTGAAATTAAACTTTGCTTTAATATAACTTGGTTAAGCCTGGCCTGCCAGGCTGACTTCCATGGTAAACACAGCGTATTAGCCTGCAAAGGAGCTCTTAGAGCCTGATATCAAAGGCAGGACCAGGATAGGATTAATGGAAACGGGTCAGAATCAGGCTGATAACTACGGATGTGACCCGAAAACAACCTTTTAAAAAGAAGAAAACTCCTAACCAACGTATTTGGACATAATCATTAAAACATCACTCTGCTGCACCTCCACTCTTGATTCTTATCGTTGGAGAAAAGTTATATAGAATTATGGTTAATTCTGGCAAAAGCATAAACTCACCTCCTGCATTGGGATGGGTCTCAGAGTTTAAGCTTTAATAGACCGGCATATGCCCTGTGTAAGTCAGCTAATTAGATTTAGCTGCAGATTCATTTGTCTGCTGTCAAAACTGAGACAAAAATGCTTTTCTCCTGCATCATAAATGATTCACTTCAACCACAACATCAGAAAATATTTTTTTAAGCACTGATTCTAATAACAAAAGGACTTCAAACAAAGTTAGAATATCCGACAAAAAAAGAAATGCTAACGATTCTGAGTTTTTTTATGTGGCTTTTTGCTTTGTTGCCCAGTTTGACGCTGAGAAGCTGAGGAGCGTTTGGCGGTAAGCAGTACCTCGTTCCAGTAAGAGCCGGATGTTCTCCGTGTTGTGCACAGTCAGTCCATCGCTACTTGCTAATGCATGGAGCAAAGGATTTTTCCCTTTAAAGAGACCAAAGGAAAATTATTCTGAGCACAAAGATGCACAGACGGATAGGTTTCACTTTGACAGTTGAACATACCATGTTTGTCTGTCGCATTTACATCAGCGCCTAGGTCCAGCAATGTGATCAGGCAGGGCAATCTCTCTGACTCTTCACTGGCAAGGTCCAAAGGACTACTCCCATGGATCTAAAGGCATGTAGCAGATGATGTTTATACATTATTATATGATTCGGGGAGGCAATGAATCAGAACAAAGTCGGATACAGTGACTCACCCTGTCCCTCTTTTCAATGTCTGCTCCATGTTCAACCAGCAGCCTCACCATGTCTGGCTTGTTCCTCAAAACAGCGTTATGCAGCGGGTTGTAATATGACACAGGGTCTAGAGACGGAGAGAAATTACAATAACAAAAATGTATCTGTGCTTTGCCTCTCTGGTAACATGCAATCCTTTTGTATTCATGTATTAGGAGCAGTAAATAAAATGGTGATTCAGAAGCACTTGGCATGCTTTGTCAGAGATCTTTTAGTAGCAATTCACAGGGGAGAGGTATTCTCTAGGGAGAGGCACATCTTAATTCACTAAGGTCACTACAGCAACAGTTTAAGATTAATCCTAACATGAAGAATCCGGCACCACAAAAGGAGTTTTGCTGCTTTAATGTCCACTAATCTCCTGTTGAATTATTTGAACACAAACAAACATGTGCTTTGATGATTTTTATGTTGACAAAGTGAGTTAGGGGCTTTGAATTATTGAAGCAATCAAAAATCAGAAATTATGCTGATATTCTAAAGCCTCGTGAGACCATCCTGATCTCGCAAGCTTTCAAGGTTTCACTCGCAGATCAGTCTGGAGACTCTCCGTTGAAGAAAATTTGGAGCCGTTCACCAAACGAACGTCCAATCAGCGTTGGCTTTGAGGCGGGTTGAGGTGTGACGCAACGAGGAGCGTGACAGTTCAGTCTAAAGAACATGGCGGCTTCAGCCGATGAAACTAGCGTTAGCGTGGCTATCGAGCAAGTTTTATCGGAATTACAGAGTATTTCTTCACTGAAAGAAGAGCAAAACACTGCTCTGGAGGCTTTTCTCAGAGGAAAAGATGTTTTTGCTCTTCTCCTGACTGGTTTCGGCAAGAGTAGCCTGGCTTGTGGTTGTGTTTTCGTCGTCGCTCTGTTAGTACGTCATATGCTTCGTTGATCTGATTGGTTTATTGGGTCCGTCTATCACCAACATAGGCCAATCAGCTAACCAGTATTTTCGCCCCTTCCCAAAATTACTTCAACGGAAGGTTTCCAGATGGATATGCGGAGCAAATCCATCTGGCGGAGTCAGGTTAGATAGTCTAGAATCAAACCTGCCAATCAACAGGATCTAAATCACTGGAAACCTGCTTGATATCAAAACATGTGCTCAATATTCTGTTTAACAATAATGATCCTGTATTATCACAGAGCAACATGTCTTATTTTTTCAAAAACACAAAAAAAACCTACTGAATTGAATTTGGATGTTTGATTTGCAGTCTTTTAATGCACAGCTAGATCTATTTGTGTTTTTTTTTTGCATCTGTAGTGAAATAAAATACTAAAAATGCCTTATTATTAGTCGAACTGTTTTTAATGTTCTTTTTTGTTTCTGCATTTTTTATTTATTTTTTTTCTCCTACTTGCTTTGATTCTGTTTTATTTTCCTATATTTTAATCATGTAAAGCACTTTGCATTGTCTTTGTACTGAATTGTGCTATACAAATACATTTGCCTTGCCTTATTCATATAATGCTGTAGAGTTCCTTTTAGTTGCTAAGTTACATTTAAATGCTAAAGGTGTATAGTAGGTATTTATAGACTTGCGTAGCAATGCATGTCAGTATATCTCTTTATTGATCCCAAATACCTTTGACTTTCCAATTATGAGGTTATAATTGGTTTGCTCATTGAGGGACCCTTCCTCCAAAACCACTAGTTTACACGTTTATCTCATAGAACCATCTACACACAGAAGTGTAACATGACAAAGTTGAGAAGAAGAAAAGCTAAAAGTAAAGCTAATGAACAGTCAGCCAAAGGTTGATCTTAAAGCAAGTTTCCTGCAAGCTCTATAAGGAGAATAACTAACCTTCAAGTCGATGTTTTACTGTTTCAAATTTTCTTCTGCTTCAAGTTACAAATAATGAAACATATTTAATGGGTATTATTTTTGCGCTTTTATTTTGTGAAATAATAAAATGATTATTTTGTGTTCATAAAGCAGCATCAAATCTGGAAAAAACGCATAACACTTCGATGTGTATGCAAGTCAGTACTTATACTATGAGTTTAAATAAAGGAATAATTAATTCACTAATGGAGTAAAGGGCACCATGCTGAATTTTTAAGGATGCGTATTTGGCTTAAGAAAAGTTTCTAGAATACTGTGATGGGAAACACTGGACAACTGCAAGATGACGGCATGTTTTTTTTTGTCGGTAATGAAGGCCTTCTTTTCAAAAATCGGGTCAAATGTGTAAGGATCCTTGTTAGTCCAGTTTTTAACTGTATCTTTATTTAATTACCAGTGAGTGAGAGACAAGCAGAACTGTCATAGTACTTATAAGGTTGATTTAGAATCAGTTAGTTGCTTAAACTACTTCACTGATTGGGAGGCTATAAAGTAGGCTTGTCCCGATCCGATCCACGTATCGGATCGGCACGCCGATATTGGCAAAAAAATGCGTATCGGCAAAGCATGTAAAATGCTGATCCAGACTGCCGATCCAGTTTTTAAAAAAAAATCCGGTCCGTATTTTCCAGTTTCGCCGATTGAAACTATCCATTCCACTATTTTGCGCCAGTGTTTCCCTGTTTTGCATTTTTATTAAAACTTACAGTAATACTTGCACCTTTAACTGTTTACGGTTTTACTGTTCACTGTGCAATTTCAGATTGCTATTCATAATTTTGTCCAGTTTGTGTTTATCTCTTAATAAACAGGTAAGTTTGTTGTTACCAGTCATTGTGTTTTATTCAATCTCACCTAATTTAGCTGGCTAGATGTTATCAAGAGTACTAAAACCCTTTTCAACATGAGTCTTACAACTAAGGCTAAATACTTTAACTTAAATACATGCTCGGATAGGCTGGTATCGGCCAGTATCGGTATCGGATCGGAAGTGCAAAAACCTGGATCGGGACATCTCTACTATAAAGCATTCCATCCTTTCAGTGTGTATCCATGTTTGCTATCATTCTTTCGAACAAGGAAATGTGAATTCCACAATATTCTGTTTCATCCTGAGCAGATAAAAAAACAAACAAAAAAACAACTTCTCACTAATATGGAAAAAAAAATAAGACATCTTTGAAAATACTGACCTTCAAAGTTTATATCAGCTCCATAGCGTAGAAGGATCTTAGCGGCGTCCTCCAGTCCCCGCTCTGCCACTTTAAGCAGGGCATAGCTGATGCCTTCCAAAAACACCTCAGACTGGGACTCTTGCTCCAGCAGCTCCACTAAAGAGCTGCTCCGATTAGACTCGTTCTCAGGACTTTAGAAGAAAGATTAAACAAAATATGTAATAAATATATATATTTGAGAGCACACTGTCGCTACAAGCATGCTTAGTGTGAGGGATTGCTGAAGAGTCAATGAGTCGATGCAATCAGCTGGTTTTCCTTAGATAGAAAACTTTGTATCAATCTGACTGGATGATCTGGTGAACTGGAAAGTGACCTGAGATGACCTAAATGAGTCACTGGAAATGATGCCCTCAAAGGTAACAGAAAAGTGATCAGATAGGGCAACATCAGTAACACTGACTTTAGAAATCTTCAGACCTTTAGTGATGATCAAGTCTAAGGCCCCGTCCACACGAAGACGAACCCTGGCCTAAACGCACAAATTTTTCACCAAACCAGCCTCTCATCCACATGAAGCCGGCGTTTCGGGGGTCTGTAAACAATCTTTTTTTTATTCAGCCTTCAGAGTGGGAAGATTTCGAAACGCCGTTTTTGCGTTTCCATCTTTACGCTCTAACCGCATTTTTTTTTTTACACGCATGCGTCATAGCGTCGCCTCTAAACCCGCATGCGCCACACATCACAACAACAATGGCGCCGTTGCTGCTAATGCTACTCACCCTGCTGTCGGGCTTACAACAGAATCTTCTTCTTCTGGAATATCTCCAGGAAGAACAGAGCAATATCGACGACATAGTTCAGCACCTGAATTTGACTTAACCACGAAAATGGACCCGCAGGGCAACCATGTATAAATATTAGTGCGCATGCCCAACATTTCGTCGTCTATTTTTGCTTTGGCAATGCATTCGTGTGGACGATCACATTTATTTTACGTCTCCGTCTTTACGGCAAACGTTTTGGAAAATATCAGCGTAAAATATCGTGTTCGTTTTGACTTCGTGTGGACGGGCCTAAAATATGTCCCTGTTTGTTCGTTGGTTGTTTAACAGGTTGAGTTAAACCAAAGTTTCTAAGTGTGTCAGACAGTTCTTTTGCCCTTCTGTCTTCAGGGTTGTCAACGTGAAAGTTAAAGTCTCCAACTATAATTAAACAGTCATAATCAACGCATATCACAGACAGGAGGTCAGTAAAATCATTAAAAAAGTTTGACGTGGACTTAGGAGGCCTGCATGTAACACAGTACACTAGGGCTGCAACTAACGATTATTTTAAAAATCGATGAATCGGCCGATTATTTTTTCGATTAATCGATGAATCGGACAAAAAATATTTTTTATACTAACCTCTTTATT